AGAATTAAAGTTTGCTTTTACCACAGGAATAATTAAGTTGTATATTACTGTTTGTAAACATGCCTGTGTATACTTATATTAGTTGGCCAATCCTGCATCAGTTTATATAATTAAACTTATTATGTGTTTAACAGGAGTATGAAATTGCAATAGAGCAATTAAGAAGAGAATTGGCTGAGAGGCATGATTTGATAAATAAGCTAAAGCAACCTACTTGTCATGAAAATCCTAAATCTGGAAGGGTATCATTTGTACCTAAACAAAGATTAAGTAAAATAGATGAATCCTCCCACAGTCAACAGGTAATCTTTTATTTAGCAAGTACTTTCTATAAATAATGCAACTTAACAATATTTTCATTTATATTCATCCCAGAGGCTGAAGGGATCTCTCAAAACTAAAAATATGAGATAAAATATAAAATGTAATATATAATATTTTGATAAATCAAATTTCTAATGATAAATTCTTCTAGTTCATAGATTCAAATAGATTGTAGTGAGTAAAATATTTCCTTCCCTATCGCATCTCAATTTGTCTGTATGAGAGAAGATAATTAAGTAATTTTTTCTACATTCATGGTCTGGAGGACTAGGAAAGGGGCCAAATTCTAGAGCTGAAGAAATTTCCAAGGACAATTTACTTCTCCAGCAGGTATATCTGTATCAGCTCAGGTGCCCCTTATTTCTTGCCCAAGTTGGGAGGCATCAATGCAGAGGAAAATCAGAATACCATAGAGAGAATTATATGACCATGAGATCTTGGAGTACTAGAGAAGGGATTAAATTTAATAATATAATAGATATACTAATCTATCAAAGATCACTAGAGGCCACTAAAGTGATTTGGCTATGAAAAGGGCAGATGTGTTTTATGTGGGGAAAACATCCTGTGTCTGCCTGCCATAAGAATAATAAGAATTCTGCTTTATCCTTTCCTCCCACTTCTATGAATCACTGCCCACTGCTACCCACTTGCTATGAATAAGGAGGGAAGCTGTGCAGTTGAATGAGAAATTTCCTACCTGGTAATTTTGTTTCTGTTAGTGGCTTCTCCCAGCATTGGACCGACCTGGGTAGTCTGGTAAATGAAGAGAATACAATTGGTAACCAAATGAAATTTTTGTGTCAAAGGAGATTTAAACATACAATTGCCTCAAGGTTAGTTAAAATACTTTCAAGTTATCTTATTCCTGAGAATCACTTCCTGGAGTGTTTCTCTGGCTTCGGAAGAACTTTTCTGAAGGGTGACATCTTAATCCTGGAGCCCCTGGCAACAATATTATTTAACTGCCTCTGAACTCCATAGGTGGGAGGTATTGCCCATTTGTTATGAAGCTGCTAACAGACAGCTATAAAGAAAGAAGGTAATTTTGGTATGATACTAGTGAAATATTTTCTACAAAAATAACTGGTGGATATTAACAATATGGATCTTTGCAATATTTAATGTTGTCCTCTGGCACAAATATTCATGAGTTAAGTAGATTGAGCTTTTATACTGGAGTTTGTAGATAACTTAAAAATATTTTTGAAGCTTACACTTCAGCATTCTCATGACTTGTTCTGAATTTTTACTGGTAAAGAAAAAAGAAGGGAATAACCGGGTAACTGGGCAGTGTGTTCCAGTGAAGGAGAATGAAGTTAAAGAAAAGAGTTTGTTACACTGTACTAGCAACACCTCTTCATTAAATGAAATTGAGGTTGGTATGCAAGTTTAAATCTTAAAGTGATATGTGATGCTACAGCTTTTGTTATAGAGAAGTGGTTCTCAACACAAAGCAGCCCTTGTTAAACTCAGGGTGCCCCTTGGAAAATGCCAGGTCTTATTTTCATTCATTCTTAGAATACAGAAAAATAAAAGACCAATCTTTCTGTTTCAGAGTATTCAGAAAGCCCACAGCAGGTCAGAATGCTTTTAATACTCTGGATTCCTATTAGAAACCTCTAGGTTTATCTTGTGAATTACAGTTGTGTGCCTAGCTGTGCTAACATTGCATGGCTCCCTGTGGCACCCATGAAAGGATCTCAAGGCACCGCAGGGTGCCATGGCATCCTGACTGAGAATCACTGTTGTGGATGCTGGACCTAAGGAAATTGCATCATGTTGTAAGATAGTGGGCCCCAGATTTCCTGGTGGGAGCCTGCAAAAAGCTGACAACTCTTCTTTTTTTGCTGCTTCACAGTTACCTCATGGTTATCAAAGTTGCTATATTAGGAAGAGAGCTATAAAAAGAGTGCCACTAAATGGAGAGAGTAACATCTTGTGATAGGCAGTTTCCTGGCTCTGGTAGTGGCTTGCTGAATCCTGTTACCTCTGCATCAATTTAACAATTCACAAAAGAGTTTATAATATGTACTTAATGCTGGAATCTAATTAAGCCTGAGCCTTGTAAAACCTTGCTTCTAACATGAGACTATTTTATAAAAAGCATTTTAAACATTTTAAATGTTTCATACACCTCCTTCAGGTGTAGGGCATCTATTTGGGTTCATAAACTGGTCAAGCCTAACCCTGTTTCTTAAAGTTCTTCTTAAAGTTCTTTATAGAAAAAGCCTAGATCATTAGCTCTTGAAATGGGAGGGTGCTGTGAGAAACCCACTCATAATTCCAGCTGGGGCTGCCAGAAAAAAGAAGGTACTTTAACTCTCTAAACTGTGAGCTCTGGGTTTCGGGGGTAAGGGGGTATAGGGGAGGTTGTTTTGTTTTGTTTTTTCCCCCTACGGTAGGAAGCAAGGTCCCTTGCTTAATACTTATAATGTAGAGCAGCGGTTCCCAATCCATGGGATGGGTACCACTAGTGGTACCACTAACAGGCTATCTGTGTACGTGTTAACAGATTTATTATAATTACTTTATGACAAAATTTGCTGGTGGTACTTACGTTTGTATCTTTTTAAATTGGTGGTGTGCAGTCTGTCAGAGTTTGGGAACTGCTGACATAGAGTGCAAGGTAGAGGATACCTTCTCTAACTTATGTTTAAAGCTTGTCCCATCCCTACATATAGCATCTGATCCAGCTTAATTGCCATGTAGTGTTAGAGTGAAGTGGATATCATTCCTGTGAGTTTTGCTGCTGTTCATTGGGTTCCAAACAATAGGAATTCAAATATTCTAATCTTGTTACCCTCTACTGCTTCCTGGAATAGCTATGAGCGGTGGAGAGCAGGCTGGAGTTGTTTGTTTCTGAGATGGTGGCTTGGAAAGAAAGTACTACATTTGGTCCACATTCAGTTATAATCATAAAGTTAGAAGCTAAATTTAAAAAAAGCATTAAAAAATGTAGGTTCCTTCTCTTGTTACAGAAAGTTTTCCATGTGCCAATAGCTGTTAAATAGTGTTTTTTTTTCAAAGGCTGCATTTCTTTAGTTACTGTGTAAAATAATTTTAAAGATGCTTCTGTAATACTCTTTTAAATCATACTACCTTACTACAGGACCACTCAGACACTGTCCTGGACTCTTCTGAAGTGTCTACAGAAAATGGACAAACTAGCAGGTTTCCTAAACCTGAGATGGAGATCAAGTTCACACCTCTACAGCCTAATAAGATGGAAGTGAAACACCAGGGCAGTGCTTTACCAGTGACTGTTAAAATGTCCAAGGCAAGAAGGAAAAGGAAGAGTGATGAGATGGATGAGGTATGTTGAAACTGATCTCTCACGCTTTTAAATCTACTGTGTATTGTTTTGATTATTACTGTGTTTACTTCTGTTGGATTCTCATCATCAAAAGGCAATACACTGTATTTTGTTATCTGATTCATATTAGGACCACCAAAATATCCTTAGGTGTGTCTTCTGGTTTACTTAGCTCTCAATGTGACCTTAAATGCATGTAATAAAGTTAAAAAAAGATTTTTAGTGCTATATATTAGCTATACTCTAGCAGTGGAGTGCAGAAATTTTCTGGTAGAAAACTATGGTTGGAATTCCAAGGTGTGAGAGATGCATGTGATTACCCCTGCTCAAACGTAGTCTCCTGGACCCTTGGACTTCAAGTTCTCTTTGGTCGCCAAGGATCGGGCCTCATGGGCATGCTTCCTTCACCTAGATTCCATCTGTATTTTTTCATCCTTCTTTGGGACCCTGCTGTCCTAGGTCAAACCAAGGACAAGCAGTGACAACCCAGTGACTTAAGTGCACCCTTTCCCAGAGCTCTGGTATCTGGTCCCTTTGGTTTACAGGTTAACCTTTAAAGCAGGGGTAGGCAAAAAACCAGTGGCCAGACTCCATTTCCCAGGAGGCCAGTTTCCATGGAGACCCCAGAAGCATTGGGGCCATGACAGTGTGGGGCCAGGGTTTCCATGGAAATGGCCTGAGCAGCACTCTGGGGCCAGGGCTAGGATCTTGCAGCAGTGACAGTGCGGGCCAGAGCTGGGGAAGAGCAGCTCCTCACCCAGCACCACTTGGGCCAGTGTCCATGGAAACCCCATCCCTGTGCTGTCATGGCCCCTCTGCTTCTGAGGTACCCATGGAAACCGGCTGCAGTGAGGCAGGCAGGAGCTGCTGGGAAATAGAGTCCACTGAGAGGCAGACTTTGCCTACCCCTGCTTTAGAGACATGATATACATCATAAAGGCTTTGCAGAAGAATTTCTAAAAATGGTCACTATACTTTCAACAGCATGAGATATGGCTCCAGATAAAAGCACAAATGCATACATTCTGCTTGCTGCAGCAGTTCCCTTTCCAACCTTCAGCTTTCTCTGAGATTTGGATCTGTCTCCCATATTGTGCTGTACTTCTCTAGCTCCTGGGCTCTCTCTGATCTCTGCAGTTCTTTTTTTTGTTTGAAAGGGCTGAGGCAATGCCTTCATCTTTTAGTTTCAGTGCCCCTGCCCCTTCCCTCACTGTCTGCAGTCAAGCCGGGTCAGATTGATTCTTGTAGGTTTCAGCTGTTGTGTTATCCTGAGGTACTCATATTTGCTTGGGAATCTTTTAGATTGGAGGTGCCAAAGATGTGGTTTGTGGGCCAGATATGTGTGTCAGAACCCTATTATCTGGCCTGCTGTGCCACCCATGGGTCTTAGACTCGATCTGCATGCTGTATGTGGTGCACACTGGACTGGCCCCACATGCTACAGTCAGCACATGAAGCTGGATCAGGCCAGCACTGCGCACAACTTGGGGCTGTATCTGGTATGCAGCTTTATGTGGCACACGGGGCTGGTTTTAGCATACATATGGCAGGCAGTACATCGGGCTAGTCTAGGGCATACACAGCACCCACAGAGGATCCGTCTTGCAGTCTGTGGGCTGATCTGTGGGCCCAATCCAACCTGCAGACCAGACTCATGCCACTCTTCTTGCCTGTAAAGCAGCCCTACTCCTCTTATCAGGCACCTTGTTGGGTCTGATCAGTTTGACACCTGTTTTTTAGGTCAACTTTTTGCCATTACCAGTGCCTTGGGAAGCCTTACTAACAGATGGTAGATACTACAAACTGAAGTTCCCAGTCACAACAGTTTAATGAAAATCCTAAAATAAACTATATTTCCTGAATTTTCTATGCAAGTTCTCCAAATTAGCACAAGGTAGATGACTACTGATTTAAATGATATTTGGGAGGAAGAACTGTTGCTGCTTTAGGTGGTTTTATTTTTTGTATTTCCTTATTTTTTGTATTTCCTATATTGTGGCTTGCATATCTCCCAGGAATGTGCAGAGCTCTGAATTGGGTACTTTTTTGGTGTAGCTTGTCTTTTAGGGTGGAATAAAAAAATGCTTACCTGGAAGGTAATTGTTCAGCAATTTAAAATTATCCTTTATTTTGTATCTATCTATGCACACATTTGACTCTGACTGCCTTCATTTACCTCGGGCCCTAGAAGTAGTGGCTTTGGCCATGTTTTCATATTCTGAAACCACTCAGATTTTGCCTTCCCTACTCTTGTCAGTAGCAGTTATAAAATAATGTCAAAATCAGTGGTACTATCAGTTAAAGCTAATGCCAGATCTAAGAGAAAATGTAGTCCACAACTCCATGGCAATATTGGCAATATCTATCAGCCAATATGGCATGCTCCCTTAAGGAGGCCTTAAGGTAAGTCTTTAACTTCTAAAAGAGGAACATCCACCTGTACCACATGACATTGGAGGTAAGCAGGCTTCTTCCTTTGTGCTTCATTAGCACCTTTCGTGCAAGAGGCTCAGAAATGCTTATATTCAGGAGGTGTACGTAAAGAAAACAAGCTTCAGTTCGGTCATCAGTATTACATATAAGCACATGGCAGTGTTTATATTTTGTTGTTCTCAAAACCCAACTACAAAATGTATCTATTGAGAGAGAGCAAGCACAATATGAGAACATTGAACTGGATGTCAGACTTGCAAACTATCAAATACAGTAAAATCCCTGTTTTCTGGCATCCTGCTAGCCAGCATATTCTATTAACTGGCACTGCGCTGCTGCCATCCACCACTCTGTGCCACCGCCACATGCAACCACCTAATGCTGCTGCTGTACCACCACCATCCACCACCCTGCGCCGCAGCCATGTGCAAGCTGTGTGCGTTCCCCCCTTGCTACTGCTGCCACGTTGCAAGCCCTTCCCTCCAGCTCTGGTATTTTTAGATAACTGGCATTTTTATGTTACTTGCACCTGGCATTCCCCACTTATGCCAGGTAACGGAGATTTTGCTGTACTTTGGAAAAGATTATTCTACCATTAGTGAATAAAAAAAATGTATTTTTTTTTAACTAATTTTCTCTGAGAGTAATATACTCTCAAGCTGCTGGAAAAACAGATGTAGAAATAAACATACTTCTGAAGGCCTTCATCAGGTACTGAACCTCCCCGGTCTTGGAGATGAGCGTATTTCATCTAGTAATAGTTTTCTGCTGTTGATGAAACTGTAAAGATCCATTTATAGTCTTTTTTGTAGTTCAGTAATCCATTCTTTTATCCCATTTGATACAGTGTTCAGTTAAGTCACAATAACTTTTCAACATCATTGAACTAAAATTATAAGGTATTTTCTATGACTGATTTCTTATCTGATTTTTACTTTAAACTATTTGTCTTCATATTCTGATTTTGCTGTTCATGTGTCTCTCACAGACCAGACAGGAAAACGGAAAAATCCATCATCTGTGGACTTAAATGACTGAGTTAGAAGTACTGAATTAATTTGCTTTTATTTTTTGGAAACTTCCAAATATACTTTTAAAGACAGTAACAGGCTTGTATTAAGGATAGGTATGGTCAGGGAGTGAGCCCACATCAAACCTAAAAGAGCCATGCATGAAAATTGGCTTTAGTTCAGATTTATTAAGTAGGCCTTTAATACTTCAGATTAATTTATCAGAGCCTGTTTTTCGTTTCTTTTTCACCTCCATTCCCTGAATTGTTGAGTTTGATTGGCAGCCACCGTATCTGAAATCTGTTCTACCTTTTTTAAGAGATTGCATCCGTGAAATTTTGCCAAAGTCCCATGCCCAAGACTGTTATTTCCAATAAATGTATTTTGCTGTTTCTTTTGGAACTGTCAACAGATAGTCTTGCTTCGCGTGGATTTTGAAGGGGTTTTTTTAAACTAAAAAGATGACATCAATGTCTTGAGCTGACAGCTCAGCAGTGATAGAATATCAACCTGAATTTATACTTGTCATTGCAACACTACATATATATTAATTCATGAAGTGACTTTCTATATTAGTTTTAAGATACTTGACAAGCTGACACTAATATATAGGAAATGATGAAAGGTAAAATCCATTTTAGACTGAGTTAATGATTTCTGTTTCCAGTGTTCTTTTATTTAGATGGTTATGTAGTCTTTGATTCAAGAATGTACTAGAGGTTCTTGTTTATCTTAGGAAATACTGGCCAGTAGTGACTATATATGTTGTCATGATGGTCTGTGTCTGCCCATTTAGATCTGTCTGTTTCTATGACTATACAAAATATTACTGCTTGTCTCAGAAGAAATTTTATAGCTGCAATGCTAACTGTGGTTGAATTTAGTATGTTCTTTTTTTCCCTTCAGGACTCTGTGAAACAGGTAAACAAGAAAAATACCACATCTATGACTAATAATTGGTTGCCTACAAGTTCCAATTCTGCTACAATCAACAAGATGAAAATGGGTTGTTTTATTTTATTCTTGAAGTTGGTTTGAACATATTCTGTGGGGTTTGATATATGCAAGTAACAGTGATTTTGAAATTAAAATTTAAGCTTTATACATGTGCTTGCATTTAGATTCTAAAAGGTAATTCAATCCATATTTGGCAGGGATATACTTGAGGGATATTTGAGTCCCCTTGGAAGTAGCAAAAGTGATTCAAAGGGAAGAATATAACATATTGAAACAGTTTATGAAATAATACAACATGAAGCCTCTTAATTTTGTGTTGTTATACATGATTCTTTCAAGTCAAAGGTATAGTTTGCCCCATATACATGAAACAGATCACAGTGGAACTAAAGGTATTATCTTATGGTATCTGGACAAATTACGTTGAAATTAGTCTTCCCACAAACAATCCCTTGCAGTTTCAGTTGGGGATTATATTAAATATTATTTGTTTTAAAGGGATACTCTGAAATCTAGTTAATGTTAGAATATATACAAGCAGGTTTAGGTATTATATATGGTATCATCTGCCATGTCTTAATAGATTTCATAGACATTAGGATTCAAAGGGACTTCATAAGATCATCGGGTCCACCCTCCTGCCCAAGGGGCAGGAAGTCAGCTAGAGTCAAAGGATCCTGGGAAGATAAACATAATCCAAATGTTTCTTGAAAGTGTCCAGAGTAGATGTTTGCACCATCTTTGGGGGGAGTTTGTTCCAGGCCTTGGGGGCTTGGATAGTAAAGAAGTTTTTCCTCATGTCCAGCCTGAAACAGTCTTGCAGGAGTTTGTGATCATTGGACCTTATCATCCCCTGGGGTGCTTTGGTGAACAGGTATTCCCTCAGATCCTGATGCATTATGTACTTATAGGCTGCCACCAAGTCACCCCCGTGCCTGCAGTTCTCCAGACTGAAGAGTCCCATAGCTCGCAGGCTTTCTTCATGAGGCCTGTTTTCTTGCCCTCTGTTCATGCATGTGGATCTTTTCTGCACTCTTTCAAGCTTCTCTGCATCCTTCCTAATTTGTGGAGCCCAGAATTGGATGCAGTACTCCAGATGAGGCCTCATCAAGGCCAAGTACAGCAGGAGGATGGCATCTCGGGTCTTGCTCAAGATGCATCGGTAGATACAAGCCAGAGTTTTGTTCTCTTTGCCAGCTGTAGTATCGCGTTCGTGGCTCATATTCATTTTGTGGACCCCAAAATCTCTTTCGGTTATGGTGCTAGCAAGTGTAGCATTTTTGAGCCTATAAGCATGATGCAGATTTTTATTCCCAAGGTGGAGCACCTTGCATTTCTCTGTATTGAATTCCATCAGGTTTTCATCTGCCCACCTTGCAAGCCTGTTGAGGTTGGTCTGGATCACCAGCCTATCCTCAAGTGTGAAGGCTCTTTCCCAAAGTTTGGTGTCATCAACGAACTTGGCCAGTATGCATTTGACACCAGTGTCCAGATCATTTATGAAGACATTAAAGAGTACAGGTCTGAGAATGGAGCTTTTGGGGGGCACCTCTAGTCACCGAACGCCACGTTGATTCGGTTCCATCAACTATCACTCTCTGGGTCCGACCTCAGGGCCAGTTCCCCAGGTTTCGGACTGTAAAGTAGTCGAGGCCAAGTTGCCCAATTTTTCCGTGAAGACATCATGTGACACCAGGTCAAAAGCTTTTTTAAAGTCCAAATATGTGACATCAACCTCTTCCCTTTTGTCCAGGTAATACGTCTCCTGGACATAGAAGGAAATGAGATTGGTCAGGAAAGACCTACCCAAAACAAACCCGTGCTGACTCCCTCAGAATGCTGCCTTCTGTTAGCCTGTCAAGAACAGTGTCATTGATTTTTTTCCAAAATCTTCCCAGGGATTGAGGTCAGACTGATTTGGCCTGTAGTTTCCTGAGTCGTCTTTCTTCCCTTTCTGGAAAATGGGCACCACATTGGCCCTCTTCCAGTCTTCATGGACTTCATCTGAGCGCCATGCGCTCTCGAATATCCTTGTCAGTTCCTTTAGCACTTTTGGCCAGCTGATTTATGGGGATCCAGCCTCTCAAGATGCTCCCTCACAAGATCCACGCCAATGATGGGCATATATTTATCTTCACCCCAGTCATCCCGCATCATGTTAGGCAGGGTGGTCCCTTTGGGCTGATGAAAAATGGATGCAAAGTAATCATCAAGCAGATTGGCTTTTTCCTGCGTGTCAGTAGTCGGCTGCCCCAGCTGCTTTAGCAGGAGTCCAATATTGCCTTTGTTTTTCTTTCAACTCCCCCCATACCTGAAGGACTTTTCATTGTCCTTGATTCGTTTATCCAGTTAGAGTTCAGCTGCAGTCTTGGCTTTTCTAGTTCGCTCACTGCAGGTGTAGACCCATGCAGCATACTCCTCCTTAGTGGTGTTTCCTGTCCTCCATCCATTATACGCCTCTCTTTTTAGATGTAGGAGGTCTATGAGTTCCCTGTTGAGCCAAGGGAGATTGTTGAGCCCTTTTACCACCTTTTCTACAGGTGGGGATGGACTTCCCTTGTGCTTCTAGGATTGCTTCCTTAAGCAGCAACCATTCATCATGAACTCCCCTCCCTGTGAAATCATGGCCTCTCAGGGCTTCAAGAACAAGCCTCCTGAGCTTATGAAAGTCAGTTTTCCTGAAGTCAAAGACTACTGCATTGCTGGCTGACTTGCCAGCTTTGTGATGGATAGTGAAAGTGATCAACTCATGGTCACTGTCACCCAGCTTTCCTTTGATTAGATCATCCCCTGTGTCCAATAGCAGGTCCAGCAGCATCTTGCCTCTTGTCGACCCATAAATTTCTTGGGACAGATAGAGCTCATCCATGCATGTAAGCAAGCTTCATGACCAATCGGATTTGGCCGAGTGCTCACCTCATGAGATGTCTGGGTAGCTGAAGTCTCCCATGACGGCCCTGCACCAAAAGTATGCAGCCTTGGCTAGTTACCTGGCAAATTCTTGGTCAAGTACTTATTCCTGGTTTGGAGGTCTGTGGTAGGCTCCTTCCATTGTATCCCCTTCACTACATTCCCCTTGTCTCCAGTCATCCTGCTTGAGTGCCAATCTCAGCTTGTAGGGGTATGTAGCTCTCCTTCACATAGAGAGCTACACCTTCACCCCTTTTTTTGGCATGAACTCTCCTGTACAGGGTATAGCCATTTATACTAGTAGTTCAGTCATAGGAGGAGTTCCACCAGGTCTCCGTGATCCCTATGAGATAGTAGTCATTTCTGCTTAGAAGAAGGACCATTTGGACCATTTGGAATGGACTCCCAAGGGAGGTGGTGCTCTCTCCTACCTTGGGGGTCTTCAAGAAGAGGCTGGACAGATATTTGGCTGGGGTGTTATGACCCCGGCACTCATTCCTGCCCGGGGCAGGGGGTCAGACCTGATGATCTGTTTAGGTCTCTTCTTACCCTAAGCACTATGAAACTATGAAACCCCTGCCCTCAAAGAAGAAACAATTGGCTAGCTATCAGTACTAGTATTTGACATGGTGTAGCATCAAGTTAATGTAGGAGCATTTCAGCTGTTGTACAAGGAAGGGTATAGTTACTTACTGCCCTGTCACTCTCAAAAAGGGCTTGATGTGGGCACAAAGGTCTATCTAAGTAGAAGAATCAAGGTATAATAGAAGTCAAGAAACAAAGGAGAAAGGGGCCTGCTCTATAAAGGATAAAACTGAAACTGAGTAGAAACTACTGCCAAGTAAACATAGTAATGAAAAAGAACAGAAGTATGTAGTAATTTGTCAAATTTGTTGGTTTTAGTAATTTAGTAGCTATTACAATGTGTCAAAATTACAAACAGGTATATTTATTTCAAGTTGCCTCTTCAAACTGCTTAATGTTGCAGTCCTCTATTAAACTGCTGCCTATCCCACCATGCTTCATAGTGGAGCAATCCCTGTATATCCAAACAATTATTTGCGAAGTACTCTAAAATCCTCTATGAAGCATGTGATGTTAAATTTATCATAATACGTGTCTACGCCTGTACAATACAAAGAGTATAATTCTAGTCCTATTAAAATCAATAGAAATTTTGTCCTTGATTTTATTGATGCCAAGATTTTGCCCATGCCTCGTTATAATATATCTTCCTGGATCTTCTTGTTTCGATATACTTTCTCCTCAGTCAGAATATTTGGAATTACTTTGCTCCTGCAAATAAGAGCATCTATTTAATGTATTTATACCCCCAAGAGAAGTGGGCAGTTAGAACTGAGTTTTAAAACTGCAAATCATCAGTCTAATGATCAAATTTAATTCATAGACTAAAATAAGTGAATCGGTGACTGTCTATCTAAATTATTAATCAATGTTTTTGTTTAGGTATCTAATTCACAATCATTTAGAAAGGAATACCCTTTAAGAAACCAACAATCTACTGCAAGTATGAAATCTACTAGGAAAAAAGATGGAACCTTACAAAAGCTTGGAGATTTCCTTCAAAGTTCTCCTACAATTATTCATTCCAAAGGTCTGTACTGAGCTCAAGTCTAAGACCACTTCTTTGTCATGCCTGTTAGTAGGGCCTAGTTTAAATCATGGGCCTAGCTCACTAATATTGTGGCCTAATCATGGTCGGGGCGTGCCATTTTGCACCTAAATCATGGTGCCCCTCTCCTCCACATCTTCCATTTTGGCTGAGGGGGCAGGGTTAGGGCCAGGTTTAATTGCAGCAGCTCCCAAGGCCTCTGATCCCTCCTGAAAATCCCATGGCCTCACCCCTGCCTCACTGGAAGAGGCAGGAACAGCAGTAGCAGCTATCTGTCCCAAGTTGTTTCTGCCAGGCAGGGAGAAAGCATTCCCTAGCCAGCAGCAAAAGCCTAGCAGTCCAGGGCAGGGGGGAAGGGTTCACAAAAGGGATGTGGAGGAGAGAGCTTGTAGATAGATAGGGGAGGGGCTGTTTGATTCTCTGGATGGGAAAACTGGAGTGCAGGGGGTTGGGGCACTTGGGGTCTGCCTTGGCAGATGGTCCTGGCACTGGGTAGAGGAGGGGCTGTTTGCTTCTCCATGTAGGAAAATGGGCACGACAGGGTTGGAGCTGCCTGAGGGCTACCTGGACAGGTGGCCCTGGCACTGGGTAGGGGAGAGGCTGTTTATCTTCCATGTGTGTTCTCTTCCCCAGCACCCCAGTTTTCCCACCTGGAGGAGCAAACAGCTCCCCCCACCCCGGGCCGCACAGCTTTTGCTGCTGGCAGGAGAATGGTTTCCCCAGCCTGCAGAATCCATCTTGTTGCAACGTAATGTCATGATGGCTGCTTGCTGGGAAACTCCATTTCATTGCAAATTTCTTTTTTTGTGGAAATCAATTTTGTGGAAAATAAGAAATCATGATTTTAACCAGGCCCTACCTATTAGAAAATGTAGTGGCAAGGTATTCAAGTAACATACTGGCTTACAAAGATGGTATAGTAAGTGTTTTGCAAATATTGTATTTACCCAAATCCAAGATGATTTAGACTTTAAGATTACCCCCCTTCCCCAATAATTAGATTCTATATATGGAAAATTATAAATTTGTTATAACTTTCCAAATACAGAATCTAATTACTGTACCATTATCTAAAGTTTGCCTCCCCTCCTGCATTTCGGGGAAAGCGGTGACAGGAGTCAGGCAAGCTACAGGAGGGCAGACAGCTTGGAGTTAGTGTAAAATTGACACAAGAATCAAATCCAAAATATATAATTTTCTGTATGGGGAAAAGTCTGATTTGTTTTCTTTGGGAATGGTATTAACTGCCTTTTCCACAGATATGATATTTAAACATAACTACATAAGAAATGCCATACTGGCTCAGATCAATGATCCATTTAGCTCAGTGTCCTGTTTCCTACTGGCAGAAGCGGATGCTGGGACAGCAGTGATCTGTCCCATATTTATTATCCTTCCTGTTATTCCCCATTATTGGTTTAAGAGATGCTAGAGAAGACTTCTCCAATCATTCTGTTCAACAGCTGTTAAGAGATAAACAGCAGTGGGTTACAATGCAATTTATTGGTGGGGTAGGGAGTATTATTAACTAATACTGCTGAATATGGAAGCTATCCTCTTGTGAAAATATTCTGAAAATGTTAATAAAAGAAGTCTACAAAGGCCAATCAAGAATTTTTTCCATTTTTAAATGCAGATAGATATGGAATTAAACTGCAAGGAGGATTTGTTTCATGTGTACGCATTTTAAATTTTGACAGAAGGTGTGCATGTTAATTATTGCCATCTGTATTATCTTCACACAGCAGTTAGTCTAATTGCTGAACAAAGCAACTATTGCTTACAAAAGCTTATGCATCCCTGATTTAGTCTATAAGGCGCACCTCTGTGCTGTCTCCTGCATGTTCTTGAACTCGTGCAAATCACCCAATGCAGAAAAGTTTCATAACATTTTTGGCTTCTTAGCAATGTAATTTCAGTTAACTGCCCTTTCTGAATTCCACATCTAGTTCTACTTTAAATTTTTCCTAAATCTTGTTAAAAAATAAAGCGTGTGTTTATAGATTTTAAATGTTGCATCATTTATTCTTTATTTTTTTTTTCTAATTCATTCTGTCTACAAAATCTATAAACTATTGATTAAAATATAATGGCTCTTTCAGCAAAGAAGTTGATTAAAACGATAAGCTCTCCCAAATCTGCACAAATGGAAAATCACAAAGAAAATCAGCTCAAGCCAAAACAAACCAAGCGAAGGCTCTACTCAGCTGCCATTTCCTCTCCTTTAGATATTCCTGGTCACGTGGTAAGTTATGTTCTGCAGTAGTTCACAGAGTAGGCAGGACATCTAGTCACCATGAATTTATTCTTTTTTTTTTCTTTTTCTTTTAGAGTTAAACTAAGTGATGGTTAGCCAGTTTCTGATTAATCTACCTTACTAATCCTTTTAGTTTTACAACAGAACAAGGAGCCATGGTCTCAACTGGCAGCAAGGGAAGCTTAGGTTAGATATTAGGAAAAACTTTCTCACTAGGAGTAGAGGTGCACTGATGCATCAGTGCCAATCTGATATCGAACATATATATTAAAAAAAAAAAAATTCTGTATTGGAAATCAGCCTAATATCAGCCAAATTATTGGCCATAAGTGGCCTGTGCATGTGCAGTCGCAGTGCAGCATGTAAGCAGTGAGGAGCACAGCCCCATGTCTTGAAGAGCAATGTCTAGCTGATAAGTCTGTTGTGGTTGAAAGGGAGAAGGGAGGGAAGGGGGGAGCAGATCAAGGCCCCCATGGTGAGTGGAGAGAGTGGGGTTGGGGCAAGTGCTGCCCAGCGAGGGCGGGGCAGTTGTGGGATGTAGACACGGCTTGTCTGGGGTGGGGGACAGGGACTCCTGCCGTTGAGCACTACTTGTCCAGGAGGGCATGGCGGGGGGGGGGCCCTGATCAGGGTGGAGCCGGGGCTGTGCTTGGGGCAGGCAGTATTGGAGATGGGAGCGAGGACTATGGGGGGCTATGGAAAATTTTGGGGTTGCTGAAGCCCCCCCCATAGGCACCACTTGCAGCGCCACTGCTGCGGCTACCCACCCCGAGTGCAGCCCTCACTGTGATCTGGGGGCAGCCCCCCCATGTACTCCTGGATGAGTGGCGTGAGCCACTGGATGAACCACCAGATGAGTGCCACAAAGCGGTGGGAACTGCCCCCTCCTCTGTGGTGGGAGTGGCCCCCCTCTCTCCCCCACCAAGCTGTGGCTCTGGCTTGCACCCGCTCCACCCTGGCTGGGCAGCTGCTGTCCCAGACCCACTCCCTCATCATGGGGGCCTTGATCTGCCCCTTCCCTCCCCCCTTCCCTTCCACCACAACAGACTTACCAGCTGGACACTGCTCTTCAAGCTGCCAGGCTGGTATCGGAAATTGGATCGATATCAGTCGATATGCCTCCTTAACCAATCATCTATTGGTACTGGCCCCCTGGGGGGGGACCTGATGGCTGCCTACAAACTCATCAGGGGAGATCAACAGCAAATAGGTAGAGCCCTTTTCTCCCCAGCACCCCCTGGGGTGACAAGGAACAATGGTAATAAGTTGATGGAGAATAGGTTTAGGTTAGAGATCAGAAGGAAAGAACTGCAATTTTTTACAGTTAGGGTGGCCAAAATCTGGAACCAACTTCCCAGGGAAGTGGTCCTTGCCTCTACCGTGGGCAAATTCAAGAGGAGGTTGGATGATCACCTGTCTGGAGTCTTGTGAACCCAGCATTCATTGCTGCCTGTGGCAGAGGGTCAGGCTAGATGATCTGCTCAGGTCCCTCCTGACCCTAGCTGCTATGAAACTATGAAAAATCTCTATCAGTGCACCCCTAACTAGGAGGGTAGTAAAGCACTGGAAGAGGTAACCCAGAGAGGTTGTGGAATCTCCATCCTTGGAGGTTTTTAACACCCAGCTGGACAAAGCTGTCCCCACCTGACATGCTCTGCCACTCCTCCCCTGCAGCCCCAAGTCTTCCCCCCATGTTGCTTCTCCTTCTCTCTCCCCTTCTGCCACAACTTCCTTACTTTTGCTCTGTACTGGCAGGCTTTGTCTTTGCTGCATCTTGGAGCATGAAGCACATGCTCCAAGATGCAGCATTTTTTTTTTCTTTTAGAGTTAAACTAAGTGATGGTTAACCAGTTTCTGATTAATCTACCTTACTAATCCTTTTAGTTTTACAACAGAACAAGGAGCAGTGGTCTCAACTGGCAGCAAGGGAAGCTTAGGTTAGATATTAGGAAAAACTTGTAGCCATAATGCCAGCTGTGCCATAAAGCCAGTTTGTAGCCATAATGCCAGCTGTGCATTGCTGCTACGCAGCCAGGCTGGAGCCATGGTTTGTGCCCCAGCCTGCAGCAGGGACAGGTAACAGGGGAGAGGGGTGTGGAGGGGCAGACAGGGAGGAGAGAATTCAGCAGGGGGAGAGGTGGGAGAAAGGGGGATGGAGACCTGAGGCTGTGGGGGAAAGAAGCTGTGGATAGGGGGGAATTGGGGAAGCAGGGATTGGGGCAGTCTGAGGCTGTTGGGTGGGGGGGGAGGGAGTAGGCAGGCACAATAGGGGTTAAATGTAGGGAGGGCAGGTGGTAGGGGACAAGCTGCCTGCTTCTCTCATTGCCTGTCCAGCTGCCTCCACACTGCTTGCCCCCTACTGCATACCCCTTCTATTGATTGGCAGCTCCTTTAATCTTGCAATTTCCCTTGCACACTCCCCCACTGCTGATTGGCAGAAGGGCCTCATCACTCGCTGCTCACTCCTGATTGGTGGGGGGGCAAAGACCACTATATTAAATTTGGCACAGTTTTTGCCTCCTGCTGCTGATTGGCCAAGGGGTCCCAGCAATCCCACCACTTGCTGCTGACTGGTTGGGAAGAAAAACTGCACCGTATTTGAGACAGTGGTTTTTACCTCACCGCCTATCAGGAGTGAGTGGTAGGGCTCCTCCGCCAGTCAGCGATGGAAGGGCGCTCAAGGGAAACTGCAAGATTGAAGGAGCTACAGTGCACTTTCACCACAATATCAGTAGGTCCCTACCCATTACTGCCTCCCTCATCACTTCTCCTCCCCACCACCCGCAGTAGTGTGTGTCGGGGGGGGAGATGAATTTAAGATGATCCTCCAATGATTAGATTCCATATGTGGAAAATTATAATACATTTATAAGTTTCCATGCATATAATCTAATTATGAGGGGGAGCATCTTGTATTCAGGTAAATGTGGTAAATTGTGCAGAGTGAGCACGAGATACTCATCCTTATGCCTCAATCCCACAAGTGCTTAGGCAAGTAAATTGTCACATTCAGAGCAGCCTGAATGGAGAGGACGGAAGGCAGACTGCACTGGATCCCTGACAAGAGTTAGAGAAGAGGAAATTGAAAAAATTAGGGAATAAATGCCAAAGGAACTTGCAAAGGAAGAGGAGAGGAGAGCAGAACGAGACAACCAAGGGAAGATTAAACTTGGTGGTTGAGTTTTGTTTTGTTTTTTAAATACAGTAAAATCTCTGCTATCTGACATTTAACTAACTGGAAATTCCATTAACTGAAATTTCTGGCAGGGAGGGCGAGGGATAAGTTGCATGCGGCAGCGGTTGCCACCACCCTGCGCTGCTGCCACCCTACGTTGCTGTCGCTCCACAGGCAACTGCCACTACATGTCCCTTACCCCGCTCTGTGTGTGGCCTGCTGGGGGCTTTCATATAACTGGAATTTTTACATAACTGGCAATCCCCTTACCCCAGGGATGCCAGATAACAGATTTTACTGCATTGTGTTTCATGGAATTAGTAACAGAAGGTTAGAATAGAAAATAACTTTCACATCAGAATTGTTTCTTTGCTTTTATAACTTGTTTTCCACTTAACTTTGATGCAAACTGAATTTAAGACATCCTAACACTTCCTCTCACTTTAGTCATGACCTACCTTTATGTAAAGATGTATAAATGCTGACCTCTGAATATTATGAATCTATCATTCAGAGGTTTTATTTTACAACACATTGTGAAAATAGCATGTAGGAACATTAGAAGTGGTTATATCATGAACCTTGTTTTGGATACGGAATTATCTATAGAGCGATGCTGACGTAGAATTGTTTGTATTAAGCATCTTATTCAGAGGAAAAGCTAAAATATCTTGCAAAATGTCCTCTTTTCAGATTGTTCTGGATCAGAAGAAAAAGGAAAGTGATCACTTAATCATGAAGCGACGGCTGCGAACAAAAACTGCAAAATAGTCTTATAGAAGCATGTTCATATGATTTCTCATCAGAGTATATGTCTCCTCTGATGTTACTGTATAGCATAACTATTGCAATGACTGTATGCAGATCTCTTTTTTTAAAAAAAAATGTAGTATATGGTGAAGTAATTAGGACTTAATAGGTTCAAGATTTTAAGCCTACAAAGATTAAATGTAATTCAAGAAAGCTTGTGTCTAAAACCTCTTGAAGTTTCTCGGCATTTTAAATGTTCATGAATGTCTCTCAGCTGGTGAGAATGACTTGTGTGTATTTCAAGAGAATTGCTTTAGTTTTTAACTTAGCATAAGTTAAGGTACTTAGTAACTGAGCAAAAAAAGAAACCTGTTGCCTTAAATTATTTTCAGAGGTTTGAAAACATGCTTAGAAATGTATCAAAGATCAGCTGAATGAAATGGAAGAAACAGAGATGGGTTTCCTTCGTCTTTTATCATCGTTGTCCTTAGCTTCTATTCAGTCTTCTGAAAATAGACTATTTATAAAGCCTGATATTTTTGCTTCAAGAAGCCTAATACTTCCACTCTTGAATCACTGGCTTTGAGCTAGTCACTTGGCAGCATCATCTATTCCTCCAGGACATTTCTGCTCAGATGGAACATTTTGCTTACAACAAAGCTTGCTTTTTACCAAAGACAATTCACAGAAATAATTGTACCGCTGAGTAGGCATCCCTCTGGTTTTCATCCCTATACCATTTAACTAGCTCACAACAGCAAATTAATTATGTGACAACAATGAGTTCTGTCTTGTCCCACCTTGTGAAATAGAGAAGTGTAAGCATCCTCATTTTACAGAGAGAACTGAAATAATTTTCCCCAGAAAGTCAGTGGTTTAATGTGAGTCTGTAGCCTAGCAATCCTGATGCGTGTTTTGGCCTCCCGTCTACACAGCTTTCCTGTTGGTTGACTGTCTTTTCTGAAACAAATGTTCATATTCTTTATCCTTCTGGGGTAACTGCTGTACTTTGTATGATCATTTCAAGATGACTAGGTGCACTGCTTTCTTGCTGAGGTGATATATAGGCAGCAGTAATTCTGGTATCCATTCTGCAAATCCTGTAACACAGCTGTGTCCATTTTGGCTAATCCTGGACAATATTAATTGAATTTTGCTTAGGGAGTTAAATCACTACAATAGTTACTTTTAAATTGTGGTCACATTATCCACTACTTAATCTTTTCCTTTTCACTCCTCTTTATATTGGAGTACTTTATAGACAATTTTAATAACATCTCTGGATTTAATGGAAAACAGGCAGTATAAATTTACTGTGTCATTCAAATACCCTACACTTCTATACTTGTTCAGCTACTAAAGGATTTCATAATTTTTATTAACCTTACATATGTTTTGGTCCTTGAGGTTGAAGGCTCTATAGTGCATAATAAGGAACAAAGTTTTTATGACCAATATTGGCTCTTTCTACAATGGGTGTGTGTACAAGTAAGTCTATTAACTGCAGCTGAGAGTTCCATCCGAGTGGATTTGAAGTAGTCATCTTGGCTACAATTTTCAAAAATACTTAAATGACTTAGGAGCCTAAGTCTTGTGAATGGTCAGCAGGACCTGGGCTCCTTCACTGTCACCTTGTTCAATTTTCAAATAAGTAGTTTTGTGCTTTTTCCCACGTGTGGAAGAGCTTCCTGTAAATATTTGTGATGCCATTTCTTTGTTCTCCATCAGAGCTCTCTTTACAACTTTCCTTTGACATGGTTACTAAAAATTTGACAACTGTTAGCATGCTGAAACTACTATTGTGCTGACTGATACTGTTACCTTGCACTTCCCTGCATTTCCCTACTGTACCTTCCTTGTACTTTTGATGATAAGCTCTTTATAGCAGGAGGAACTTTGTTTCTTTGTGTTTAGACAGCACATAGCAAGTCAGAATTCTGGACCATGACTAGTGTTCCTGGGTGCTGTGCTGAAAACAAATAAATAATAAGTAGTATTTAAGTGTAATATATGTATATTGGTATATCCTATCTTTGCACCAATATAACACAACATATATGACTCGTTTAACTAATGAGAATCCTATGTTGAACACTGGGAAAAATGGGGAGTAAAATAATGATTGTGTAAATTATGACAGTAATGTTGCACATCAGCTCCTTTCCTGGAGTATGCACACAGGCTATGACTAGCTCCCCAACTACTTTTGTTGTGAAGTGCTGTAATAGGACTTACTACAGCAACTGTCCCAGGAGAATTGATCATCTGCCCACTCAAGATACTTGTGTAAGATATGTCTGTGTACAAAAGCAATTTAAGTAACAGCTATGTTAACATGGCATATGTCTGGATGCTCCCTCAGTCTTGGTGCTTGTATCTGTCTTGGCAAGTTCAACTTTCTGCATTCAGTAGTCACTATGACAAATGTATTACACACATCCTGCTTCAAATACTTTGTTTCAGTATGTCAATATTTTGCTCGTATTCCTTTCCTTGCATTTTTATCACGTACCTGAAGTTGTAGGAATAATTTCAGATTATGATTCCAATGTTCCATTTTTAAAATGGCTAATCTTTCCTCTGAGCTCAGAACTCAGTTAAAGGAATCTCTTGGGTAACACAGGAACATTCTAGAATAACCACCTCCATCACCCAGCAAGATTGAGTAGCATCTGGTGAGATGGGATTTGTAGGAATCATTAGCTAGTTGCTATTACATACTTTTAATTATTTCTTTGCTGCCTAAAATGATTACATTAGATCACAAAATCAGATTTATTGAGCAGGATTAAAGGAAAGTAAAATTGAAAAACAAACTTATGAAGTTTGCACAGAAATTTTTAATTGTAAGGAAAAACTTTTGCAAAGATTTATTTGATCAGGAAGAAATGGAGCTGAAGGAGAAAAAGGAAAATAAAATAAGGCTGAGTTTCAAGATGTTCTGTCTTTTGTATTATTCTGTAAGTAGTTGACTAGAATTAGTAAAGGTCAACAATGGGAGCTGTGACTAAATTCTATGTAGCAGGGTGTAGTAATTTTGACTTCTAAACATGAGGCAGTATTGCTGCTTCTGTATGTAAGCCTGGCTATAGGGCTACCTACAACCCAACTCTGGATCCCTGGAGGTGCCCACAGCCTGGAGCCCCCTGCTCTTCTGGAGTGAGGGGGGTTCCCTTCACAGGAAGGCACCTAGTGTCCCTGGGCCTCCAATTAGACACCACACAATTCACAACTATGTGTACTTTATTTACAAAGGGCTAAAGAAAAAGAAACTAATACACAACTGATAAATTGTCAGAAACTTATTCACCCCCTCAGTCAGTAATGTACACGATGATGGCCTCGGATGATCTGTGTACACCATGTAGCCTGGACTGGATCCCCGGGAAGGTGGAGCTGCTTCCATGCCTCTCCTGCAGGAACTGTGGGCGGGTCCTTGCTGTAAGGGTCTCACAAGACGTGCCGGGGCAGGGCTGTGCTGCAGGCGGGTGCTCCTCTGAAATCCCTGTAAGATGGCTTACCCTGCCCAGACCCTCATCCCCTGACACACGGGGCAGGGTCGGGGCTGGAGACTGGCAATCTCCTGCCCACATGGCACACCCCCACTCACCAGCCAGTTGAAGTTCACCCCCCTCCCTTGGGTCTTAGCTCTTCCTCACAGGGACCCTGCCCTGTGTGAAGGGGGCTACGTCCCCCAGCTCCGCCCCCTGCCCAGAGCTCACGGGGAGCTGGACCAACCTCCCCGGTCCCCCTCCCCCTAGTGCACCTCACGCCACATGGGGGGCCTGGAGGAGAGTCCTCCTTGCTGGGGGTCTCCAGAAGGGCTGAGTGCTTATCCAGGCAGGGCTCCCAGGGGAAAGGGAGCAAGCGAGGCACTGCGCTAGGCTTCCCAACCCCCCAGCCTGCAACACAGCCCACACTTTCCTCAGGCTCCGGCAGCTGTGAGGACAGGACGCTGGGCTTCAGCTCTCCCTCAGCCTCTGCACTTCTCTCACAGCTCTCCCTTTCCCCAAGATGACTGCCTCCACAGCAGGCTTCATCTGCCCTTTGGGGAGCCATTTTCCCTTTTCCAAGATGGCTGCCTCCAGAGAGAGAGCTTCATTGGCCTGTATCGCCTAGTCTCCCAGGAGCCCCACTGGGTCCATGCTGTTGCCTGGCTCAGCTCACCCTGGGACCTTGTCTCAGGTCAGGTGATTTCATTAGTTGTTACATATAGATGCCCAGAGATCCTGGATGAAGCAACAGCAAGAACAATGGAGGGAGTGGCAGCTAGGTAGTAGCCCACAGGCTGAGATGACCACTCAAGTGCCACACACACGGGCTGCAGACTGCCAGTTGTACAGCCCTGAGATACGTCATAGAAGCCTACGTTAGTATTTTTTTTTTTTTACTAATGTAATTTTTACACTAGTCTATACCCAGATACTAACTCTTGGATGTTTGCAAGGGTGTTCCACTCCTGTGGAACTCTCTCCAGCCCTTTGAATCGCTGGAAACTTTTTGTCAGTGATCTACAGTGACAGAGAGACAGAGCATAGTTTACATCCCCACCCATAGTAATGTAGCAACAAAAAGTTTTTGTGTGCAGGACATAAGCTACTTGAGCCTAAGAAGTACAAGGCCAACATCATGTGGTAGCAAATCCCAGTAGAAGAATTGCTCTTCCAAAAGCTAAGAGTAACCTGACTAGCACATTGTTTCCATGTCTTGTTTTTAGCCTGAACCATCAAGGGTAGCTTCTAAAATATTGCTTTTTTGCTCAGTGTTATTGTGACGAAAAGAATTGTCATTTGGAGAGCTACTAGCATGTTAGCAACAGTGACAAGGATGTGAATAGAACAAAAGTCAGGCCTTTCAATCAGAAATTTTTTTTGCATGTTTATGCTCTCTATTGTGATTTTAAAATATGATTTGACTACTTTAATGCATGTAACAGTAATAATTCTTTTTTCTTTACTACTATTTTATCCTGCCTGTTTTACAAGTATAGGACAAATCAAGCCTGGCATCCAAGAGGATTTACATTTTAATATAAGCATTAAAGAAGAGATTAAAATCGGTGATCTTTAAAATGCAACTTTCTAAATGAGTTACTAAATTTAATTGAAAAATATACACACACAGAATGCAATTTAAATAGAGAAAACAGTATTAGAGTTACTTCATGGTTGCTTGAATATATAATTTTACCCTCTGGAACTTATTTTTCTGAGTCTCTGTGTATTACGGGACATAGAACCCTGTTACTTTAATGCTAGGAACAGACATTACACACACATTGGTTTCAGTGATCAGAAACTGGTTCAAACCTGTAACATAACAGACATTCAGTGCACATAAACCAGTTTGAAAATGGTTGAAACTCATTTGAGATAAACCTGGTTGAATGTAGTATCAGACTTAACTGATTTGGCTCAAACCAGCTTATACAATACCTGGTCTAGACCCCTTGCTTGTTTAAGTTGAATCGGACTCCCCTGGAATCCCAGCATGCTCTCCGCTCCAGCCTAGCTAGGCTGGCCCTGCCCCTCTGATCCCCAACCAGAGCAGGGACAGACTGATGCAGGGGTCTGGCCAGGGAGAGGTTTAATTCCCCCCTCTCTATCCCACTGGCAGGGACCTGAGCCAGGTCGGCCAGGTGCTCTCCCCATGGCAGCAACAGCGGGCAGACCCGGCTGCCAGTGGGGGTAGAGGGGAGACTAACTCTACTCCCTGCCCCCCTCTGCCTCAGGGGCCATGGTGCCCCACTGCTGCAGCAGACCTGGCTCGGGTCCCTGCTAGTGGGATAGAGAGGGAGAAAATAAACCCCTCTCTGGCCAGTTCAGCCTGGACTGGCCACGTCTGCCCAGCACAGCTTCTCTGCCACCAAGGATATGCTCTAGCACCCCCTGGTGCCTGGCCTGAGCAATTGCAGGCATGTGCCTGCATTGCCTCAGTCCAGAGAGAATGTTTGTCTTGTTACAAACCGGTTCCGCCTAGGCAGGTTAGACTAACTTGCAAAGGTTGAATCAATTCAGGCTCCAGCTGTTTGAATTTCTGGCCCTAGCATAAGAGAAAAAGTGCTGCAGGTAAGACCTGCAATCAGATGCAGGCAGCTAGAGCCAGGGATAAGTGCAGGAAAGTAAGCAGCAAGGAGAAACTGAAGTAACTCAAACTACAACAGATCAGAATGCTTTTGTAGTTGGATTCCTATTTCACATTTCTGAGTTTATTTTCTGAGTCACCTAGGTGTGTCAGCACCTACACATAACTGCTAATATTGCTCAAAAGGATCTCACAGAACCCAGGTTAAGAATAGCTGTTTTAATGGGTAGATTATAATTGTCTGCCTGACTAAAAAAAGGGTATTTTTATTTACCATTTTGTATTTGGATGCCCAGGAACAGTGATGAATCCAAGCAAACTCAGACTGTCCAATCTGGGCTGTTAAGGGATAAATGCCATAGGTAGTGGAAGTTTATATACTCAGCCAGCTCTCCAAAGTGACCCCCTCTGTCTTGCATGGCATAAGCTTGAAGTAGTTACATTCCCACCGGGTTGCCGCTCACTTAGTTTTTGTAGAAATACTGTTGTTTGTTGATAAAGATAAATGGATTTGTATCCTTCATATATTCATGTGGCTAAAACTTTTTCCAATGGCTTCGTAAATAACAGGTGACAGGATCAAACTTGCTGGTGAGACCTTGAGAAACAGGAGCAGTTTTTCACCACAATTCTCTGAACTCTTTCCAAAGGAAAAGTGCAGAGGGTCTCTGCCCCCATGAAACTAGGCAAAACAGTTTGCCGCCATACTTTGCAATAAAGTTGCTTCTCAAACATCGTTTAAAGGAAGTATTCCTGCCATGTTTGACATTCAGAGACAGCATCTTGAGTTAAATGTTATTAGATTTAACTATGGAAAATGCATCTTGTTCTCTGTATGCTAAAATTGTTTCAGGTGTATAAACTGTCAAGCTTTAAAAGAAATATC